GCATATTTGTGAGTATATAATTTATGGTGATTGCTATTGTTAGGTTGTTAAAAGTAATTGGTTGTCTCTAAGACTAATCATGGATTTGTGTAATAGGTAAGCAATTGTTTTTTTTATTTGGTAGGCTATTTTGAGTTAAAAAAATATATAGATTTATATGCTAAATGAGTTTTCTTTGTTAATTTTTTTATATAAATTAAGTGGATTAAACATGATAAATGATTTTTAAATAATGTTAAGTGTTTTGTGAAAGTATGTTTATGATTTGTTTTTATGAACTCATTCATGGATTGAATATAAATATGGATATGACTGACTATGCTTTGCATCTTGGAGGTTATATATTGGTATTTATAAACATGTCTATTTAAAATTTGATGTTTAATTATATAGAAAAATATAACTCATTATTATTATGGTTAGAGTAACCATGTTATGTGAACCTGACCTTTAGGAGTTATATATTGACACTTATAGACATGTGTATTTCAAATTTAATGCCTAATAATATGGAAAAATATGGTTCATTGTTACTATGGTTAGAGTGACCGTAGTTCTTTAACTCTGAATTTTACTTTGAATATTTTTATGCAATTCACGTTTATGTTTAAAATGACCATAACTCTGAATTTTACTTTGAATATGATAAGTATGATTCATAAATGTGCTTTTGACTTTTAAATCTTTAAATGTATGAATATTTTGGTATAACTAATGAATTAGTTTTAGAGCCTATTTGATATTATGATAACAGTTTCTTTTCAAAGTATTTTTTATTTAAAAATATATAAAATAATATTTTTATTTTAAATTTTATTTTTGACATCAGCACATAAAAAATAACCTAACTTGAAAAAAAACTAATTTGAAGTAAAATAATTTTCAATTTCTTTCAAAAGCTTTTTTACACCTCAAAAACAAGCACTGCCTTAGGCTATATATATTAGTAAGTTTTGATATGTTTGGTCTAGCTAAAAAAATTAACTATTATATACTAAGTGTGTGACACTTACCGGCTATTTATTTATTTCAAATGGCTTGGAAGAGGTTTAAAATATTAAATGATTGCTTCAGAAGTTTATAGTTGATTCTAAACTTCAATATTTCAATTATTAGATCTATTTATGATCTTATACTTGCAATGTATTTGGTTTTATTTGATTTTGATGTTAGATTACTTGAAGTGAGATGATTTATATTGAGTTTAGTTAATTTATGATTTAATATATCTTTTTAACCCAGTATTATTTTGATTATAATTTCTTAAATGTCGAAGAGGCATACAATGTTGTCACGCAAAAGGAGTATTTCATGATTGTTTGGTTAGGTGCTATACATGAGGATTTACTTTTCAAGTTATAATTTCCTTGAATCCTAATGTAAGATGTAGATATTTTTATTTAAAGCAATTAAGAACAATGATTATCTTTTTAGAGAGAGATGCCATAAAGGAAAGAATTTAGTCTTGGTACATAAAAATTGGTTAAAAAACCTAGGATATCTTATGTTGTATAAAATTTTATTAGAAAAACAAAAAATTATAGATCTTATAATAATGCATATAAAATCAGTTATTTTAACATTACAATGTGAGTTTCAAAATATAAGGGATTTACAATATACACACATGTGCATGCCTGCACACATTTGTTGATGTTTGTTCATGAATGATTTATGCATATCAAGTTCATTTCAGTTAATTTAAAATAGGTTTGGTTCGATTAATTTAATTAACTTAGATTCATAAATATATAATAAAAAAGCTTATAGGTTTGGTTCTAACCAAATACTTTTCATGTTTGATTCATTGCTTGTTTCAGTTTTTATGTTTTAAATTTTTTTAACACTTTTATCTATTGTTTTTATGGAGAGACTTAAAGTTAAAATATTTTTTTAAGTAAAATTAATTAGATATAAATATTTTTTATAAACCAACTTCAAAAGTATTGTTTGAATCTACATTTAGAAGTATTTCAAAATATGTTTGCCTTGAAAAAAAATATCAAATTTTAGTTTGATGTTTTTTTTCTAGTGCTTTTTAATAATTTTAATGTGCTGAAGTTTAAAAAAATAAAAAAATATTTTGATGTATTGTTTTTAAAAAAATACTTTTAAAAATATCTTATACCATAAAAACAAAAAAAAAAAAACAACAACATAGGAAGGAAGAAAGGAACACTCGTGAGCCATATTTCTTTTTAACAAACAACAAATAAAAAGAGAAAAAGAAAATGATCTCAAGTTTCCTACTAAACTGAATACCAATCATCAAAGACATCAAATCATCATCATTTAGGCACAAGATTGTCAATTCCATTCCATTTCGTTTGGAATGGCTAAAACATTTCATATGAATTAAAAAAATAAAACAAAATAAATAATTTTTATCTCATTTTAAATCTTGATTCGTTCCGGATTTTTCAGATAAATTTTAGACAGAATATTCCAGTTTCATTTCACATGTTCCATTTTAGGCTTGAAAAGCTATTAAATTAAACTCAAACTTCAACTTATTTTAACCAAAACAAATCATTAAAATACCATATAAATATTAATAACTCTATTTTCAACTACAAAAAATCTTTAATCAATCTAAAAATAAAAAAATCAAACAAAACAACAATAATAATAAATTTAAGGACCTTAATCTATTTTTTTTGGCGTGGTCAAATAACAAATTCATCTTCATTGAACTCCCCTCTCCTAATAAACCTTTATTGACACCAATATCTATTACATTCGTACCATTTCTATGGTTAAATAAAACATGAGTTGCATTTTTATTTTTTAATAAAATGTTAAGAGATCAAAAAATCATTCTTCATTAATATCATAATAAAAATATATGATTATAATATAAAAAGCACTGGAATATTTATTATTATCCTTAAAAAAAACATGATATTCTCGTGATATTGAATGAATAAATTGAAGGAAATTTAAAGGGGTGACAAACAAAAATTATAGTTTAATTAAGGGTTAAAAAAATGCTAATTGGGTAGTGTTTCGTGCGGTAATCTAATTATGACACTCAGATTCCAACTCCCTCTACCTTCATTCAAGAATTAATTACTGTAATATTTTGACATGAATGGCTTATGTGGCTTCACTTTATCTTTTAGAAGTGAAAAGTTCAGGTTTGATTTATATTTTTTTTGTTAAAACATTTCACATTCATAATATTTTGGTATTTTGTTTAAGTTGAATTATTTTAAGTTAAAGTTTTATTTAATCTTGACTATTTAAAAATATTTTAAATTTTAAAATTATATTTATTTGATATTGTGTTTATATTGTATAATTTATAAATAAGTTATCTTGAATTTGAATTATATTTTTTGAATTTATATATATATATATATATATATAATTCAACAAATATATATGAAAAATATAATCCTGAAATGGCACACTAAAATGCTCTAAAACTAAAATATTTTATTCTAATTGAAAAAATAAAACACCTACCAAAACAGAATTGACAACCTTGATTAGACATTCATTTGTTTATTTTCATGAAAAGTAAATCAATCAACAAAGATATACATTCAGCAAATAATTAGTAAGAGAAAAACTTGAGATGGACATCCATCTCTTCTCGGTGCTCAAAATTAATGAGTCAATCTAAACATTAGTTAGTGTGATGATATAAATTTATATAATTGGTTGAGGAATTTGCACATTTCATGCATATTAGGATTTAAATTGTAAGTCAAAGTGTACTAATATATCAGAATTCTTTAAATATTTAAAAAATTATAAGTAATTTTACTTAATATTTTGATGATTAATTTCTCAACTTTAGTGCTTAGCCTAAATGTTATGAACCAACCCATTAAATGCTTATTTGATCCTTTTGACCCTTACTTTGTAATAGATTCAATCAAGACATACAATGAATCCTATGGTGTTTTTATTTTGAACAGAAGTCCTATATTTGTTGTTAAAAATAAAACAGCAAGTGTAAGACTTTTACTCCTTATGCCATATTCCAAACTAAAATAAAAAAAATGTTGATGATAATGGATAAAAATGGATTTTTTTTTATGTTAGTGATTATTTAAAAGCTTATAAACTATATAATCCTAATACCAAAAAAATTATTATTAGTTGAGCTTCCTTTTTTTTTTTCAACAATAATAACAAGAAAGTGTCACCAATCATGATGAAAAATAATAATAAAAAATGCTTCCATAAGGTTTAATTTCTTTTTCATAAATCTTGATTTATTTATTTATTTAGATTAATGGAAGGCGTAATGGACCTTATCTTATTTTTCATAATGTTTGAATTTGAGAATTTCAATTAAAAGTCTTAATTGTTGGATGATACCCTTGAGGGCCTCGTATATATCCTTCTTGTAATTGTTCCTAAATACTTGCATTAAGGTACTTTATGATTTCTTATTTCTTTTCTTTTATATTTACAATTTGTCAGACATAATGTGTCCTTCTAACAAATCTTGATTTGTTTGCAGGTTTATCCTTGTTGTAGGTGATACTCCTCCGTAAAGTTTATTTACTTAAACAGATGGTGCTGGTCGATCTTCGAATGAGCTATAAAACTTTAAATTATGCAAAAATAGGACTTCAATCCACGACCAAATCTTTAGCAATTCTTTTAGCTCTTATGGTTTCTTTACAATTTAAGCTTGTTAGCAGCTAGTCTCGTAGCTTCGTGAACTTTGTTAAGTTGCGACAGGACAAAAACCACTAAACTGGATTTAGAGAAGAGAGCATAGTCATTAGAGAATTAAAAAAAAAGAAAAGAAATTTCGATCTACATTCTCACTCATATGCATTATATATAGTGGGTTTGGGATGATTCCTGTGAAACAAGGGGAAAAATAGTTTAAAACCAAAATATAAGTGAAAAGAAGCCAAATGAAGACAACATAATTAATTAAATGCTAATTAGTAGATAATTTTTTGGGTTTTTCTATCGTCCATCATAGTAAAATATTGGTCCTAAAACATCTGCTTTGCACACCAACATGCAGAGGAAGCTCCCATTTCTTGATGCAGCTTTAATAACGATTTAGGTTGATCTTGAAACCTGTGGCAAAAAGGTTACCTCATGAAGTATCCAAGAAAAAAAAAAAAAGGAGGAAGAAAAAAGGAATACATAATAGAAAGAGAGAGCGAAGGAACTCTCTTTACATAATTTAAAATTCGTTAATGGACATTACTAAACATTGCTTGGCAACCCTAATGACAACCTTGAAATAATATTTTACTGCAATTGCTAACTGTAAACAGTACTTATAACCTTAATGGACATTGTACTTCTTATTATACAAAATGAAGTTCACGCGGAGAGATCAGAGCTATCATGGAAATCCAAAAATTCTCTCCTACCTATGTTAAACAAAATAATAATAATAATAAGAAAAAAAACAAACAAAGGGGAGGGAACAATTAACTAAATTTGAACATGAGAGAGTTGTTACTAATTAAATGGTTAGCTGGAAATTGCTTTGTAGCAGGTTCCTATATATATATATATATTAAAAAAAACAATAGAATTAAATTTTCAAAGATATAGTTTAACTAATAAAATTTTAAATTTATTTTTTAAAAATTATTAATTCAAATTTCAGATTATTAAAGGTTTATAATTATTAATTTTAAAGTCTATAAAATTAACGCATACAAGATAGCTTGAATATCCATATTAATTTAAATAAAAAAACAATACAATTGAGGTAAAAAGAAAGAAGAAGAAGGAGAAGGGATGGAAGAAATGCACGGATAAAAGGTTCGCTGCAGAGATGTTTACCAGGAAATAGCTTTCACCATGGTGCAAGATTTGCGCTGAGAACCCATCTTCATTAGTGGGAACAGGCACTCCAGAGGAATGCACCAGCATTACATCTTGACCAAACATTGCTTTCACGTCAAGTGGCACCCGAGGAACTTCTGTTGGAACCCCATTGATGAAGATTGTGATGAATCCTGAACAATAGAGAGGATATATTCTTAGAACATTTCCCAACTCTTTCCTAGCTTTCAGAGCTCCATTCTAGTAATTAACTGAGCACATGATCACGTTTATATGTTTACCCTCTCTCTTTTTTTTAAGTTCGAAAGGGGAAAAAATCAGGAGCCTCTCAAACCATGCAAATTTAGAATATATCGAGAATTTATAAGGAGGAAGAGGGAGAGGAGATAAGAATGAACGGCATGTTTGTTCCAAAAGAAAGAAAGGAAAGAAATAAAGTTGAATTTCTCAATAAGTATTATTATTTGTATTTAAAAATATATTAAAATTTTATTTTTTTATTTTTTTTATTTTTCACATCATCAAATCAAAAAAATTATAGAATATTAAAAAATTAATTAAAAAAAAAATCGACTGCCGACTCGCAGTGTCAAAGAACCCTTGAAGATTTTGTAATAAATCTTGGCGTTTCGCAACAAAAAAATAAATTAAATTTGCAAAGGACACTGAATAATTTTGAAGCCCTCGAAAGTTAAGATTTCATGTGGAATTTTACCAGGTACTGCAAGAGAATCAGGAAGAGGGGGACCATTATTTTTCTCGGACAAGTACAACAAGTCTTTCAAAGAGTAAATCATACAGCAACAGTCATATCATTAAAAAATTTCTATCTAGTTTATTCCATTTCTGTACCACTCTTGTGCACTGAATTAATTAACATAAACATAAGTGATAAAAACTCTATGAATTTTAAATAGGGTTGCAAAAAAAATTTCCTCTACACAACTTTCTGAGACGATAACATGTATGCATAATACATAAAGAAAGATCTCACCCATCTTCAGAAAGTAAAAAAAAAAAGACAATTTGCATTGAAGAAAGAAATTGGATATAGAGCGTACTGAGGAGACATGGGATTAGCTACTGATAGAGGAACTCTTTTTGAACAAGTCTGGTGGCTTCCATTTTGGAAAATACGAAATTAAAAAAGAAAGGAAAGAACGAAAAAGTTACACAGCCTTGCACTTACCAGCAGTTTGGTAATGCAAACTAGAAGTCTCTGATGGGCTTGAAATTGAAGTTACACCAGAGGTTTGCTCCAATTCTTGAAAACCCATCTGGTTAGAGAAAGAAAACAAACTCTCTACACCATGATCTTCATCAACAACTCCACAAGAAGAAGAGGAACCAACAAGATAAGAAGATGGAGAATTTGCAAACCCATTAGAAGTGCCACCACCTTCGTATTGAATTACACCACCGCTATCGTATGCCCGTTGATTATTTCTTTGATATCCTGCAAGAAGACTAGCTTGCATCTGGCGTTGCCGGCGGCGAGATCTTGATCGTCGGTTTTGGAACCAGTAGAAAACATTTGCATCAGCAACAGAGCCAAATTTTTCAAGAAGTTTCCTTATTCTCACAGTTTCATTTTTTGGTGGATTTACCATTCCACTGTTAAAGATGGACTCAAGTATCAATATTTGCTCTGGCTTTGGAGTCCACCTTGACCTCACTGGCTCACTTCTTTCAGTTCCATGGTTGCTTGGACTATGATGGTCTTGGCCTTGATTATCTTCCATAGTGTGAAATGAAGAAAATAAATGTTTGTCGATACAAAAAATAAATAAAAAAATTTAACAATAATATAGGAGAAAAGGAAAGTACATAAGCACAAGGCAGAATGCATAGAGAGGTGAGGCTATATATATAAAGGGGTGAACCGGTAGGAATGTTATTTTGGGAATTTACGTGATCAACCTTGGTTTGACTGGACTTCAGTGATTGAATTTACAACTTTACCTAGTTTAGAAAATGTTATGCTAATCTTTCTCTTCCAAGTCAACCGCCCAACTTTGTTTATTGAGACATATATTCAGTGGTCAAAGAGAGATCCATTGTAGGATTTAATTAGTTAGAAGCAATGTTTTTTTTTTAAATAATATAAATTATATTTTAAAATTTTATTTAATAATTTAAGTTATTAAATTAAAATAAATTTTTAACATAATATCAAAGTTTTAATGCGATCATGAATTTAAATTTTATAATTTTTATTTATATGATAAACATTAAATATAAGAGAATATAAGTTTATAGAAGTTTTAAGTTTAAAAAAAAATTTATTTAAAAAAATAAATTAAAAAATAATATAAATTATATTTTAAAATTTGATTTAATAATTTAAATTATTAAATAAATTTTTTTTTGATAAGATGTAATCTCTTCAAATTATTATAATATAGATGGTTATAATTATGGTTCCAACAGCAGAAGTTTAAAAAATTGTTTACATTAATTTATTAATATAACACATTATGTAATAAAATATCATCAATATTTGATATTACATGTTGTATGACAATTTTGCCATCAATTTAAAAGGGTAAAAATTCAAATCCTTTTCCTCACAAATGGTATTGTTTGTAATTCTGATTCTACACGACGAGATAACCTTCAACAATATAATATCATTAGTATAAACTATTATAATGGTCTGTGCTGATGTTTTTCAAAAAATATATTTAAGTTACAATTTTTTAATTTTTTTAATTAAATTATATATGTATTTTGATATTCTTTCTATTCCCATGATCACTTATATAATTTAATTTTCTATTTTATTAGTAGTTATAAATCTAAAAATTTAAATTATAAAGTAAAGTTTTAAGATATAATTTATATTATTTTTAAATATATGTTTTTAAGTAAAAATTTTTTAAACTTAAAATTTATACGTATTTAATTATTTTTTATTTAATTTTTATTAAATAAATAAAAATATTAAAATTTAAAATTATAAACATTTAATCATCACAATTCTAATATTATATTAAAAAATATATTTTAATTTAAAAATTTAAATTAATAAATAAATATTAAAATATAATTTATATGATTTGATAAGGATTAAATATACATCAACAAATAAACATGGTTGCATGGGAAAATCTCTCAAAGGAGTGGTCAAAACGGTAATGTTAATGGTAGACAAGAAAAGTTGGCTAGGGTTTTCAACTTGGCAAGAGCATGTGCAGGCATGCATGGGAAGTTGAGTCCAGAGAATTATTTAATCGGAAAATGAGAGGAAGGATCCAAATAGACGGTCAAGAAACTGTGCAATAATTTATTGACAATGACGTATGAGGAAACATGGCTTACTCACTGAGTCCTCTCCTCTCCTGACCTCTCTTTTTTATATTAAACGAGAGGAAGGAAAGCGGTGACAAAAGTTGGCTGATACATCGAACACTTTTATACGTGTATCAAAATGTCTGCAACATGTAATGCTTTTATATTCATATTCTATTACTGCGTTTACATGTAACGAAACTTCAGGAACCGACTGCTTATGCTGTCTCAGACGAGGTTTCCTCCGTCCTGCAGGCTTTTCCTTTGTTTATAGGGATTCTGGTCATATGCATACACATATATTAATGGGATTGCTAATTATCGAGGGTGATGATCATTCTTAATTATATCTTTAATATGTGGTTAATTAATAGCCATATAATTATATCAACATTAATCATTGTGTTTACGTATGGGGCCGCCTGTTGTAGTTGATATTTACTCTATTTATCATCAGCAGATGATAATAGATGGGGAAGTTCTCATGCTAATGCGGTTAATTATGAACGCAGCTTATATAAGTATATATATATATATATCATTATTTGGCTCTATGTGCATCAAGTTTCTGTGGGCGTGTTTTTTTGTCATGGACTTCAATCTACCAAGCGATTTTTTTCATTGTTGTTGAATTACTGTAACCATCAGGTTAACAGTTTAAAAAATATATAAAATATGTGCATCTAGTTGAATCTTTGTTTTTTTATAAAAACAAATCTAAATAATCTTTATAAAAACAACAAAAAACAATTTTTTAACTTTTTTATATGAAGAATCTCATATTACAAACATTATATCACTGATATAATCACTATCATTGCTTCATTAATCTACATCTGAATTTTTTATGTAACTTATATTTATTTATTTATTTTATACAATTATAAAAATATTTTTATATTTATTTTTCAATAATTTTATCCACAAGTATATTATTGATATATAATTTATATTTATATATTAATACGGTTACAATGCTTTATGAAACACATACATAAAATTATTTATTAGATAATTATTAGCAAATATTATTATACTCGATAACTCTTTTAATAAGCATTGATTCCTTCAAAAGAATATACATATAAAACATACAAGATAACAAAAATTATTGTAAATATTTCCAACATCATGACTCTAAATTTACAACTATATGAACCAAACCAATATCATTAATCTTTCTATAAACACATCAATCCATGTCTTTTTTTAATTTAATACTTCCTTAGTAGCCACTAATGAACTCTTTTTTTACATTAAACACATTAATGTAATGTCACCACACATGTAACTACTCCTTGGTTTACATATATTCTATGCCTCATTTAACTACAATTGTTTCACTCATTTTTTCTATGTTCATCAAATTTCTTTTAATGTTTTATATATTATAATTTCTTTCCTTGTAAGATTTTATCTATGCCCCATTTCATTTTATGAGTGAATTTGTTGTACCCTCCTCACGAAAGCACAATGTCATGGTGCCAATTCCCAGATAGTGTCTTTTGGAATGATCTTTGGTTTGGTTGGAAAATCGCCACCTAATATTATTGCTATTAAGAGCTCTAACTGTTTTTTTAGAGATTTTAGGCAAGAAATTAATTGTGCAAAGAAAAGGTATTAGAATCCCTAATACGTCTTATATAAAATAAGTTGTATTATTTTTTATTTGTTTGCTATGAGTTGATGACATCTATCCATACCGACTTACTATGTCAAGTCTGCTATGATGAACAAATCCTAATTTTTTAGGACAAAAACTTGGTTTGGGAAGTGAAACATCCTCAATTATAATTGAAGTTTCTTTTGGGAAAAAACTAGAATTCTTTTTTCTACTTGTCATGATATTTCAAATAATATTTTAAATAAAATTTTTGTCGGGATTTATCCTTATATTAGAAGTGAATGAGATATATTATTAACAAAAATATTTTGGATATTAACCTCATACATGTTTATTACCCTTATATTAAAGTGAGTAATAAAAATATTATTCTTAATAATATTTTGGATATTAACCCCTTTTAGATTTTTTATCCTTATATTAAAAGTAAATAATTATTATTATCCTTAATAATATTTTGGACTAGTTAGGCATAACACGGGCCAATTTTTTTTAGAATAAAAAATATATAAAAAAGCCATGATCTAATAGCGTTAGATCTATCTGCAAAGCTAGATACAAAAGCCTTGGGTTTGGTTACAATACCTGACCCAAGAGTAATATTTATAATACAAATAATAATATTAAACTTGTATTACTCAAGTTCTTATAGTTTTTTATCACTTAAAATCAAATTTATGTTTCTTCTTTTTTAGTAATTATATTTTTTAAGAAAAATTATTAATAAAAGTGATAATAATAACAATAAGAATAATAAAAATAATACTAATGATTATAAACATGGGTCTAGCGCCCTAGCCAGACCCAAGTTTTTAAGGTCTGGTTCTCCTAATAATAATAAAAATAATAATATTAATAATAATATTAAACTTTTCTTACCTAAGTTCTTATAGTTTTTAATTCCTTTAAATCAAATTTATGATTTGTCTTCAATAGTAATAATATTTTTTAAAATTTAATAATAATAAAAATAATAAAAATATTAAGAATAAGAATAACATTAATAATCATAATAATAAGAAGAAGAATATTGTTAATGACGACGACGATAACAACAATAATTTTTAATTTTATCCTTCAAATCAAATCTATGTTTTGTTTTCAATAGTAATAATATTTTTTCTCAAATTTATTAATGATGAAAATAATAATATTTATAATATTAATAAAAATAATATTAAACATGCCTGACTCAAGTTCTTATAGTTTTTAATTTTACCATTCAAATTAAATCTATGGTTTTTTTCAATATTAATAATATATTTTTTAAATTTATTAATTATTATATTAGCAATATTCATTATAATAAAAATAATAATATTTTTAATACAAATAATAATATTAAACTTGCATGACTCAAGTTTAAGTGGGTCTAGTTGCAATGTCAAATCAAAAGCCTTAGGTCTAGCTATAATATTAGACCCAAAAGCCTTCGATGTGGGGTCTGGCTGCATAATCATGTCATGAAAATAAGATAATTAAATAAATAAAAATTTAATATTAAAAAACAAAATTAAACAAAAAAAAAGATTAATTAAAAAGGAGCAAACAAAGGAAAAAAAATAAAGCAACATTATTCCAATGAATAATGCTTTGCGAGGAGGGGTATAATAAAATTTCCTCATGAGATCATCATCATCTAATGAAAAGCATGAATCATGAGGTTTAATTCTTAATAAAATTGATATTAAAATATGAAATTGAAAGAAAAAATCTAATTAAGAAATAGAAAAAAAAACATGTATCAAACCAGGTTAACCTGTCAAACTTAGAATTTGTGTCATGACAATGTGATAACTAAATAGAAACAAATTTAATATTAACAAT